TGCACGAAAATTTTCTCGTGTTAAATTCATGATGACGTGACACAGACAATTTTCAATTTGCCGCCAAATCGTAAAACAAATGACAAATGAATGAAATATATACTCAGTAATATTGGCAAAGAGTTATATTTTCAAATTTTAGAATTATTTTTTTATTATATTGTTTATAAGTGGCCAGTTCTAAGAACTTTCAGTTTAGATTTACGAGGACATGCCACTAACCAGAACCGACTATAATGCATCATGAATATTAATTTTATAAATTAATGTCCCTTTCGGTTTGGAGTCGAACCAATTTGGCAGAGGTTGCTAACAGCTGTAAAAATAAAAATGTACTCAATGGTAATACTTAAATATCGTTTTAATTGTAGGAACTACGGCTGGGTAGAGTTAAAGTATTAGTCTCGCTTAAAATGTTTTAATATAGCTGTTTTTAGTAAAAATAAGTAGTTTTTGTCAAAATAATTAATTTATTTGTATATTGTTCACATTATTATTCAAAATTTTAAAAAGGAATATGCAGTTGTTTCAATAAATTTTCAATCACAAAAAGAAATCGGTTTACACGTAATACAGTAGTAGGTAAGGAGATTTTTAACTTAATTAATAAATGCTTAAATACAAAAAAAGTAATAATTATCAAGTAAATTTTTGATTCTAATTATGCTACTAAGTAGTTTACAAAATTTTTAATGCATACTGCATTAAAAGATAAAAAAGCGGAGGCTTTCATATTGCCGTCCTACTTTTGCATGGTATATAGCAGCTATCTGATGGAGTGGTTAGGGTCATTATCACTGATCCAGAAGGCTCCATGCCGGATCCCGGGTCCTTCTCCCCCGGAGGGTACTAGCAGTTTTAACAGATAGGCCGACTTCGCTTAAGCCTGTCCTTTTCAGGACGGGCGGGGGGTAGGAGAAACCCGGTTAAAGGAGTGTATTGTATTAAGAGATTATTGAAAATTGTAATTGACATTGAAAACGTTTATTGAACACACACAATTACGTATTTAACAAAAACAAAAAAAAAAGACATTACACATTAATTATAATTTAACTGTTTATGTATGTATTTGAGTTTCTTTTATCCCATTATAGTTTTTTAACTTGAATATTTTGTTCATAATAAGATATTTATTTTACTAGCGGTTTGGCTCATAGACTCATAGGCATTTTTTGTTCTTATATTTATCAAAATAAATACGACGAAGTTGATTGTTCGACTTAGCGACCTGTACTACATTTACGTGTACATTTTAACACGACTGCCCAAAACGGTCTGTATTGTGTTTAGAACTTAACAGATATAAATGTATTGGGTATTATTGGAAACGTACATCGTTCCGAGTGACATAAACATATAGTTTTTTGAATATTCAATATGGCGGATGTTTGACGTTATTTACATATAAACATAATGGCAGTAGCTTGGTGGCGTAATGGATAAACGCCGCAGCCCGCGATCGTTGTCGTTAAGCAACTTTCGCAAAGGTCGGTCACGGGATGGGTGACCAAAAAATTATTATTTCGAGCTACTCCGTGCTTCGGAAGGCACGTTAAGTCGTTGGTCCCGGCTGCATTTGCAGTCGTTAATATCCTCCAATCCGCATTGGGCCAGCGTGGAGGGTCATGGCCCATCCTCCTTAACCATCCAAAAGGAAGGCCTGAGCCCCTACAGTGGGGACGTAAAAGGGCTGATGATGAGATAATGGCAGTCATGTTCTTTAAATTTGTAAATTATTCATTACTACTAATGTAGCACAAGGATGCAACGGAGACTTAAACGCTACTGAGAAAGAGTGTCCAAATCCGTGCCCGAAAACGTGTAGCAATCCGAATCCAAGTGGAGTTTGTATCAGGGCGTGTCGAGTGAGGGGCTGTGAATGTAATCCGGGGTACCTTCTGTCAAACGGGACCTGCGTCTTGCCTAAGGATTGCCCAGGTATCTGACATTATTATAAATATTGATTTCTTATATTTTCACGCGCATTACCCATAGCTGAAACAACTTTTAAACGGTTTCACGCGCATTATCCATAGCTGAAACAACTTTTAAACGGTTTCATCGCGTTCGGACCCTTTGCAGGTTCAGTGTTCACATAAGGCTAAATTGATCAACTTGATCAACCCTTAATCAAACACTTACTCTCATGTGAACACGGAACCTTTAAAGGGTCCTAAACGTGAATAAAACTAAATACAAGCGCGATGAAACCGTTTAAAATTTGTTTCATTTATTGTAATAAATTTTGAATTTTTACACATTATATCTGTCTACTAGTGAAATTTTATTATTTAGTCGGTAACCGTTTAAGGTAGAAGTTCTTATTTCCTATAGGTAATATAAAGTTTCTTCGTCTGTCATGTATAAAATATATGGAGATGTGTAGTTTCGGTTCTAATGAAAAATATATTATAAACATAGATATTTTGATTTCGTCTCATAAAATAACATGATTAAAATTTAAACGTCTCATTTGTATTACCTTCAAAAATCAAATTCAACAATTATAACATATACAAATAAAATACTTATAGCGTTTTCGCGAACATCAAACCAAATAGACCACCTTTAAAGACTTTTATATAAATGTTGTTATGTTACAAAAAAAAATTTACAGAAACAGCAGCGTTACTTCGTCAAATCAATATGATTTGACGAAGCCGGATCAATAAGAGAATATCGATTATTACGGGGTAGAAAAAAAAGAAATTCTATTTGCTTCCATTTAACAAAAAATTACGTTTACGCATTGTATTTGAGGAGTCTACGTTACCGTTTCGTAGAAAATATACAAAAGCGTGACATCATGCGACATTTCAACTCAATTTATCGCCGTAATTTATTGATTTCGATAAAATAAACAGTTCAATTTTCCTCAATAACCTGACGGACACACAAATAAAATTTTGCTATCTTCCCCATTTATTTTCCAGGTGGCGTAACCTGTCCCGCCAACGAGCAGTACGTGAATTGCAAAGTTGAATGTCCTAATAGCTATTGCCCAGTGGACGATAATCGTGGCATTCTTATGTGCGATCCGCCTTATCCTTGTCCGTCTGGTTGTACTTGTAAAAGTGGCTATTTACGCAAGAGTAGAACCGAAAATTATTGCATCGAAGCTTCTAAGTGCCGTAAGTGATATTATACATTATTGAGTATGTATTAGTATCGATTTTGCTGCACAAACTAGACTAAATTTAGTTTTAATACTTGTCATATTGTTGTATACAGTAGAGCACATTGATGAAATTGAACGGGGTACCGTATTGAGTAAACTCTTCTAAAACTAGTTGTCACGACTCAGTAGTCATTTTATGGGGCGTAAAAGACGAACATGTTTGACTTTGTGAGGCGTGATGCACCAGCAAACTTTTAAATGATAAATATTTCCTAAAACGTTACCTTTCAATATTATGCACCATAAAAGTAACTTCTTTTGGTGTAAGAATCATATTTATAGAATAAAAAGCAACAAAATAGTGACAATTAATTTGTTTTTTATTTTTTTGCCTATCCCGAAAAATATTGTTTTGTTGATTCATCATCATCATCAGCAGCCCTTTTACGTCCCCACTGCAGGGGCTCAGGCCTTCCTTATGATTAGTTAAGGAGGATGGGCCATGACCCTCCACGCTGGCCCAATGCGGATTGGAGGGTATTAACAACTACAAATGCAGCCGGGACCAACGGCTTAACGTGCTTTCCGTGGTACGGAGTAACTTAAAATAATTTTATGGTCACCCATCCCGTGACAGACGTTTGCAAAAGTTGCTTAACGACAACGATCACGGGCCGCGGCGCTTATCCACTACCCCACCGAGCTACTCCACCGAGCTACTTTGTTGATTACGCCCTTTGAATTACAAAATATCGATATTATATAAATTTGTACATATTTTTATAAATTTTTTATTAGCTCCGGTAAAATGTACGAGACCGAACGAAGTTTGGAATCCGAGTCCACCAAATTGTCTACGAGAGAGATGCTCTGATGCTAATAAAGTCCAGGAGCCTTGCAACTTGCCCTATAGAAATTATAAACCTCTATGTGTGTGTAGAGATGGCTTCTATAGAAACGACTCTGACATCTGCGTACCCGCTATCGAATGCCGTGAGTATAATAAGAAAATTGTTATGACTACTCAAAAGCTTTTTTTAGCTTTAGTGGTGTTAATATAATATTTTTGCAAAAAAAAAAGTATCATTATATAAATTGATACTTTTTTAAAGTATCTAAATAAGAATCATATTTATAGGATAAAAACAAAAACTAATTTATAATTCTAAAATTTAAACATATTAAACAAAATTAGGAGTTTATACAATTTTATATTATGAGTTATTAATATTTTTATATATTATTTAATTAAAGTTATTAAATTATTATAATGTTAATTTATTTTATAATGTTTATATATTTATTTTATACGTTTTGGTTATCCTGAAAAATCGTGTTTTAGTTATTACGCCCTTTGAGGCGTAAAATATCGATATTACATAAATTTGTGCATAACTTTATCCATTTTTATTTTATTAAATATGTTTATTTTAACACAAACTGTAGGTATGACAATAAAGGTCATTGATCTCCCTCCGTACTGAGCGGCTTAAGTAGCAACGTTAGCACATATTTATATACACCTCCATATTTTTCATCTTCAATGTTATCGGGTTAAAAAAATTCAAAAAACAAAAAATATATGTTCTTCGTAATCATCAGAATATTGAATTTTGTGTACTATCAACAAATTTTCCCTGTGAATTTTTATTTTAATATAAATCGACTTAAAAAATTGAAAATTATCACGCACAGCAACAAGAAAGATTATACCGAATAATCTATTAGCAAATTAACAACATCACATTGGACGTTGTAAATACATTTGCACAACTGTCGTTATTCAATATCATTTGTTCTAGCATATGTTCTTTTAAATGATATCCTTGTTTAACGAGTATAAAGATATATAAAGGTTGGTTCTTTGGTAAAAAAAGTTATTCAACGAGTTGCCGCCATGCTATTGATATTCATTTTGTTCGGGTTGATGAATCATTCGTGGGGTAGTAGCTTAGTCGAGAAAACATATGGTAAGTAGCGCAATAAAATAATATCAAATTTTAGCTGGAAATAGCAAAGGTATATATTTGAAAATGACTAATACTAGCTATCTATATATACGTATATATATCTTGTCGCCGTATCTCTTGCGGGGTAGGCAAAGAGGACCGAGCGCAAAAATATATATTCGACCTAATTACTATTTTCTTATTTAGTTATGTACTTTTTAAATTTTCTTGTATTTATTATATTAGTTTTCTTATATATATTACGGCTTCTGACAGCACCTTCTAAGAGCACGAGATCTATTTGATCGTGAAAGGTGTGTAGTGGCCTTCTTCGGCTTCTGCATCCTTCCACTTCAGAGTTGTATATAAGTTATACGAATCAAACTATCGTCTTAATTATTAGTTTAATTTAATTATCTTTAACACAAAATCAAATTAAATAATGACATTGATATTATATAATAATTATCTACATTTTTATTAGTATTACAATCTATGTATTTATATTTATACTCAAATAAATGAATTATTAGACAACATTATATACATTGCTGCAAATCGAGATATAGTATAAAGTAATAAAGCCGCCAATTGTACAGTTCAATATATTGTATAAATGTGTTTTTTGTCCAAATATAAACAGTGCGGATGCAGAAAAGTATATAATCTAATTTGCTTATTTTGGTTAAAATTAAGTATATAAATTTTATGAGAACAATGAAGCTATAAATTTTAATTATAATTTTAGTAACATTTCCATGAAATGAGTTTGAATATAAAAATATTGTAGCTCATTTCAATATATAAACGTACATTATACTGAGAAAAAGGGAGCTTTGACTTTGATCCCATTGAATATACTAAATTGCTTGTTAGCTAAAACAATACGTGTTATTTCCTATTATATTTACTGGGTCATATGAATTTCGTCTTTCGTCCCGATTCTTATTCAAATAAGCTTTTCGTTTACTTCGTGAAGTAAGGATTTATAACTTTCTTCTCTAGCTCTACCTTATGATATTGTTATATAGCACTTGATTTCAATAAACGAAATAAGTTGTACTTTTATATTTGTTTTTTTTTTTAGATTTCCGTAGTCAAAAAGGAACCAAAGAAAGTTTCACCTTGTCCGTTCCTCTGCGGTTAAGCTCGGAAACTGTTGTTACACCGGTTCCACTCCGCCATGTTGTAGTTTGGCATGAGTACATGTTAATCTCGTACACAAAGTTGTAAAATAAAAGCTTAAAAAATGTAGGTTAGGGGAGAATAGGCAACAGTGGATCACTTTTTTTAATCAATTCTACTTCTTAATTTTTGAGTGAATGAGTCGTCTTTGAAATTGGATCTTAAGATAGTATCTATTCTTAAAAGAAAAAATATACTAAAAGTGAACAATTTCTATATTATTAAATGTTCATTTGCAGTGTTAAATAGCCTTTTATAACTAAAATTAAACAGTATACCGAACTTAAAAACAGATAAGTTTATCTGAAACCCAGAGATAAATTGTATTACATTAATCTTTTGAAGTATACATAATAAATAATAACAGCAAAAAGAAGTAACGAATAAATCTATCTTCACGGGTAATAGTAAATTACGAGTCCACTGTGACCCACTCTGAAATTTCAAAATGAAAATGAATAATGAATAATCGAGTAATGTAACAACCCTATGGCAAATCAACAAATCTACTGTTGTGCAATCGTAGTGTAGTGTACTTTTATATATTGGAATAGGGTTGTCGCAAATTTTAAACACGTAAAAAGCACGTTTGATATGTGTTAAGATTTTTCGTATGTTACAATGCCCTGTCGCCATTACGTGTTCCAGCGTCTGATCTCTGCACTGTGTACTGAGTGATGTTATACCCTTAGTACTTTAACATACCGAAATATCAAGCTTTAGAAAGCTCTTGCACACTTTAATTACGACCTATTAGAATTAGACTAAGTTTCATTCAGGAAATGTTTTTAGTCTACAGCAAAGAACTAAATTTATTCTTCAGTATTATGAGTTCAAATTCGTCATATAATTTACTAAATTATGGATTTGTTTTCTGTAATATATTTATTGTATCATTCTTGTACTTACGATCTAATTAATCTCGTAAATTCTGTGCCGCTTACACTTTTAACAATATATCACATTTATCAATCTAAACATCACATATCTTCTTTGTAGCATTAAAATGCCCCCTTATAAAGGGATGTAGACCAACATGTGCAGTGCCTAACCCACAAAACTGTCCTGCTGTTGAGCGCGTGAAAGTCAATATTGAAGGCTGCCAGTGTCAAGATGGTTACATTCTCTCCGAGGAAGGCGGCAAATGTATTAGAATAGAAGATTGTCCACGTAAGTTGATTTATTTTTAATATTATCCAAGCATCAAAGAACTTTGGATAATTTTGTACCCTTGTCAGCTAAGTTTCGAAAAGCTTTATCACTCCTACGTATCAGTTTAATATTACGTAACATTAGTACGTATATTTAAGATGATTACGAAAATGGAAATGATAAATACGAGTTTATAGGTCTATTGCTAATGCGCCGGTTATCCTGCCATCAAAAAAAAGGAAATCTATGATTATAGCTCTTTATATTGCGTACGTAGATAAAATTATAACCATTAATATACAACGTGTCCCAAAATTCAACGATAAGCGGGCGCCAAGAGGTACCCTTGCTCATGTGTACTTATGGAAAAATAAGAAAAAAATTATATCTTATTAATCTTTTTTATTATAAAATAAAATTCGAAAATTTTCGAAAGAGTTGTAGCGAATAGTAGTGCTACTTAGGTATCCGATACCAAAAAAAGATAGAACATAATTGAGAAGTTGTGGTCGTGGTAGTTGAAAATATCGTAAAAGGTGTAAATTTTCGAAGATTTTCGAATTTAATTTTATTATAAAAATGATAAGATATAATTTTTTTCTTATTTTTCCATAAGAACACATGAGCAAGGGTACCTCTTGGCGCCCGCTTATCGTTGAATTTTGGGACACGTTGTATAATCGGGTTAATTATTCTATGAGATCCTACTATTAAATTAATGATTACAATTGTTGTTGACGACAGTTTTGCCAGCCTCCTCAGGCAACGTTTTTTATATCTTTTTTTAAATTTGAATATGACATTTGTCAATTATTAATTTTTTGCTGTCTGTCTTGTATCTTGTGATTTTATACAGTATTCATAAATAAATCTTTTTCTTTGCTAAAATTATCGTATTGTTTAATTATCTACAGTCCATTATGCTTGCTGTCGATTACAACTGTTGAGGCTTTCGCTGAGATTACTGTTACATGGCCAGGATTTTTAGTGGGTAGGCCCCACAGAACATAGAGAGAGATCTATGTTCTGTGGTAGGCCCCCTACCCTTTGACCTGCTCACTGGTCACTCAAGATGTGGTCTGGTAGTAGAGGATAGTCTCGTACACCCCCTGCTATACCATCGAGTGACATAGATAGTGCCGATTGCATTTTCCCTATTCCAAGAAAAGACCTTCCCCTGAATAGAAAAAAAAACCCTGGTTGGCTGTATCATTGATACAGCCATACTTTATGCGTGGATACGTCTATGTATGAATGGATATATAAGTAATTGATAAAAAAATAAATAAACAAATTGAAGACACTAAACACTAAATAAATAAATTTTCGTTGCGTTAATTTGTTGAATGAAAAAAGTATTCACTAGCGCCAACAGATGGCGTTAGTGCATATACTCCTGCTGACAGAATGCCCCTCCCCCTGCAGAGCAAGCATAGTTTACTTATACGCCAATAGATGGCGTTGGTGCATATACTCCTGCTCACAGAATGACCCCCCTGTAGAACGAAAACATAGACGTATCCACGTCAAAAAAAATCACCATAACCCAATACAAGCGAACTCATTAGAGGTTGATGTGTGGCAATATTACTTTCGGGACCAACTGCTTGATGTGTCTCTTTGAAAACTTTGGATAAATGAATTTGAGATAATGAATTTCTGGGCCTGGCAATGGATCTTTGCGAAGGCTTATTAAGAGTGTGCATAGAGGTATCGAGAAACCAAGATAAAATGGCGTAACTTGTAAATGAAATTGCAGAGAAAATCAAACCACAATGTGTATCCATTCATATAATGAGTAATTAATATAAATTATTGTTGTGTTATTGTTATAGCAAGTTTGAATGCAATTTTTTTGGGTCAACAATTTCTTTTCCTATTTTAGAAGATATCGGCTGCAATGGTGATCCTCACGCAGTAGTGAAATACAGACCTGCTGCTTGTCCATCTACTTGCAGTAACCCTGATAATGTCAATTGCAAACGATTAAGCATTTCAATTGGCTGCCAATGCGCATTTGGCTATATAAAATCTGCATCCGATGGAAAATGCATTCCCGTTGATCAATGTCCAGGTACATAATTGTAAATGAAACAACCTTGAGAATTCCAAAAACTAGCTTTTTAAACTTCAGGTAATCTAACAGCCAGTTGCATAAACGTCCATTAAAATTGTTATTGGTTTAAAGCGATATTACTCATACAAATTTGACATTCATTAAACCTTAATGGACCTTTGTGCAACTTACAACACTTAAAGTTGCTCCAATTATTATAGAGAATTGGATTTTGATAGTTTTAAGGCATTAATGCGTTTAATATCTTGAACATATCATACCGTTGACAAATATTTTGTGGTAACATGATGTGTATATTTGAAAGTTTAAATTATTTAATAGACCTACATGATATAGTAAAATCATCAATCTTATATTATTAAAAAAAGTATACACAGAACAGGTTCCTTTCAACTTTGCTATTTCGTAGTTCAAAATACTTATTCCCTCATGTACTTATATATTTAGTTCCTAAGCATACTGCACAGTATTTAGTCAATTATTATTATCGTGTGATCATTAGGAGAATAATATTAAACGTCTCTAATTCATTAAGGAGGTGATCCATGTGGACCAAACGGCACATTCGTATATTGTGGATTCCGCTGTCCAAATCAGTACTGTCCTCAAGATGATAGTCCATTCCAAATCGCTTGCAAGCCGGGACGCGACTGCCCTCCAGGGTGCGGTTGTAAAATCAACTATAAGCGATTAAGCTACGATGACGATAGATGTATCCTGGCTTCAGAATGCCGTACGTATCTTAGGCATAATAATAAAGTAATTTATACTTACTTGTATACTAACAATATATCAAATCGAAATTAGGTCAGTTTCTTCTTTGTATACCAATGACAGCTTTGCAGTTAGAAGTCAATTCTATTATTAAAAACTCATAATTGTATGTTTTTTTTTTTTAATCAATGGTCAGATTTTAATATTGTCATCAAGAAACTTTGTTACTCATGATCACCCTACTGTATCCGATTCTGTATAAATAACAAGTTGATAAATATTCAAATAGGAAACTATTTTAAATCAACTTGAAAATCGAAATTGAGCAGGTCATTGAGTATGTATTTTTATGTAGGTTTATCGATTTCTTCGGGAATTGTAGACCAATTATCAAAATTACATCGTTTTCATTTAAACGTTTATTTACTTTTTTTATATGTAAACTGGCCAATATTTATTACATTGCTTATTACATTGCCATTAAATGAATATTAAATAAAACCACTTTATATAAAAGTAAAAACGCGTTTATATTTGATCATTTTAAGAACTTTCGGATAACAGGTTCTGTGTTTTTATTGTCTTTTTATAATTAACAGCACAGGTTACTTCAAACGATCCTTATTTAATGAGTACTGGTCATGAAAATATAAGAAACGAATAAATATAAAAGGATAGATAGAATATTAAAAGAAAATATCTGTTTTCAGCTCCAGTAGAATGTACTAGACCGAATGAAGTGTGGTCGTCTTGCCCATCTGATTGTCTCGCAGAAAACTGTGAAAACGTTAACGATCCATTTACCGTTTGTAATACTCTTTTGCTTAACTGTCAACCGAAATGCGTATGTGCTGACGGTTACTATAGAAACAGCAGTGGTATTTGCATACCGGGCAAAGAATGCGGTAAGTATTACTTTAGATAAACATGGTATTAGGTAAACTTTGAATTTTACTCCTACTAGTACTACCTTTATAACAGAAAAGTCATAAACTTATTCTCTATGAGTACAGAATTATACCCTGTTTCTGAATTGAGAATTTGAAGTCTTAAAATTTACTCAAAACATTTAAAACGTCACTTAAACCGGTTTTCGTTTAAAATTTTAAATTTTTTAAACAATCAGTTGATATCAGTTTAACAAAACTAGGACTTTTTACCATGTAAAACGTAAAAAACTTCAGTTAATGAGAATAATCAGTTAAGATTTAGTTCTTTTCTCAATTCAGTAACCGGCCGTTAGAGTTTTTGTGATATGTTTCTTGTATTACGCACTTTCAGAGGGCTACAACCCATGCTTATCGAGATGTGCACCAACTTGCGCTGATCCAAATCCACAGAACTGCGGCAAGGAGTTTAACAATAACTGTTGCCAAGACGGCTACATTTTATCGGAACGTAACGGCACATGTATCAGAATTAATCAATGTCCCAGTAAGTTCTGAATATTTCACTAATATTTCTAAATACGTACGTATTAGTAAATATATATTTATATAAAAAAAATGTCCTCTCATTCAGTATATACGCCATAATTATATATATGTATAACGTCAACCATCTACACACCGTATCAGGGTAAATTACCAGCGCCGTATCAGGGTAATCTACACTGGTATAGCTTATGCTGAGTCCTGATTGGCCACCACTTTTAATAAATGTTTTTATCTTTAAGTTAAATCATTATTGTATCAACCTATGTGGACAATAAATGTATTTTCTTTCTTTATATATAATATAACATGTCTCAAAAAATTATGTTTGTAATAATGTAGATGGCTGCAACGGTGACCCTAATGCAGTGGCGAAACAGTGTCCAGCAATTAGACCACCTACATGCAAAGATCCTAAAGGTGCCAACACTTTAGAAGCATGTTTATCATATGGCTGCGGTTGTGCACCAGGCTATATTAAATCTGAAACTGATGGAAATTGTATACTACCGAGTCAATGTCCAGGTAATTTAACACGAGATGATAACTGATTATGTTTTTAAACTCCGAAATCATGTGCGTAATATAAAATTACGTTCCTTTTCTATATGAATAGAGAACTTAGGTTGTATATCGTCATATATTAAATACGCATTGGCAATTGTGGAACTTAAGTTTTTACTACCATTTATAAACAGAAGCTAAAAAAAAAACTGCTGGTATTCTATATCAAGGAAGCAAAAGACTTAGTTATATAAAGATTGCGCTTTGTGGCGTTGAGTCCTCTGTATTTACTCTCGTAAGATATGTTTTATAAATATTCTAGCAATCTTGTATTTTGTAAATCTTACTACCAGTAAATTTTTGATCACAAATATGAGCTACTCAAAGCCTAGCCTATACAATATAAAAACTTTCCTCAGTCGCAATTTTTTTTACCTTCGAATTATACACACCATATTTAACAGAGCTCGATGTCGCAGCGCGTTCAGTCTGTTTTACGGTTGTTAAGCAACTTTCGTGGGGGCCGGTCCTAAGATTGAAAATTATTATTATTCGATTCCATCCACAGGGAAGACCTGTGCCCTAACAGTGGGACATTAATGATGATGATAATACCAGATTTAGCCGCTTCTGACAATGATCTGCCAACATTGATATAAACGCACCCAAATCCTTATCGTGTTTGTTGAATTTTCTATCAACGTTTCTTTTTCATTCTGGTACATATTCTATCCTACGACCTGAGTCCTAATTTGGGTAAACAGATTTTTTCAACAAATAAGGAAATTGTTTGATAGTATATTGGATTTTATTTAAGGTGGTGACCCATGCGGACCTAATGGTACTTTCGTACCATGTGCATTTGGCTGTCCAGACCAGTATTGTCCTCGAAATGACAACCGTTTCAAAGTTGCGTGTATGCCGCCATATCCCTGTCCTTCCGGGTGCGCTTGCAAAAGCAATCACAAGCGATTGAGTTATAACGATAACAGATGTATCTCGACTTTAGACTGTCGTATGTATGATACTGTTAAAATATTTAAAAGTTTGCGTTTAATTAGGTAGATAAGTTTTCAAGCTCAGTCTGATTCGAAAAAAATATTAATTCTGTTAATTTACAGTGTAGTGTTTATGGATAAGGTAAATTTAAATTTAGTATTTCCAATGATAGCGGGTTCTTTATTGAATTATGAAGCTTATTATCTATAAATAGTCCTAAATACAATAAACAACTGTAAATTAACAGTAAATATATACAGTATTGTATTAAAGCATATCAACTGAATTTGTCTAACAGCACTTGTCTTATTATTTCAAACGAGTGTAAGTGCATTTAGATACGTTTTCATTCTAAGATTATCACCAAGTCGATAAAAATAGTAGTGAAACTATAAGAAGACAATACAGCTGAACTTTAAAAAATTGAGATTACAGTTGGGTGTAGATCATTCGCATATTGGCGTAAAAGAAATAACGATAAAGATAGTTCAGCAATGCCCCCAAATTCATAATATTTTTTTTTAGCACCAGTAAACTGTACAAGGCCAAATGAAGTATGGTCACCTTGTCCGTCTAATTGCCGCTCAGAAGATTGTCGCAACGTAAATGATGAACCACGTTTTTGCATTGCACTTGCGACAAACTGTCAACCAAAATGTATATGTGCTAATGGCTATTTCAGAAATGGTAGTGGCATTTGCGTACCAGCTAAAGAATGTGGTAAGTTGTATGTTAGATTAAATTATTTGATAAATTATAGGATATAGGATTTTGACAACTACTTACATATGTAATAAGAAGTCGCAATTGAAAACTGTACTTTAGTATTGAACTCTTTAGAATGTAGAATTAGTGCATTAGTTTTATTTACCTAAAATTATATACTTTTCAGATGGCTACAATCCTTGTTTATCAAGTTGTGCACCTACTTGTGCTGAACCAAATCCAAGCTGTGGGAAATCAACAGTAACACAAAAAAATGACTGTTGCGCGGAAGGCTACGTTCTATCTGAGAGAAATGGCAAATGCATCAGAATTGAAGAATGTCCTAGTGAGTTTTACTTTTCACAATATTACACCATTTTATTCTGATGGTAAAATATTAAGTATGTGAGACTCCTATCATTATTATAGACACCCGATTAATACAAAGTCTGCAAAGTTAAATGGCAAATTAGATGGTACTGTACATTTATGCATCGCCTTATTTTTAATTTTCGTTATTTGTACATATAACATGGTTTCCTTTTGTTATGGCAATTAATTCGGAACCCGACCCTACCGTTCTAGTTAGTTTTTTTGCTCTTAGGTGATGCGGTTTGCTACATCTGTAGTAAAGTCAATTTGAGTAAATTATGGTCGTTTTTCACTTCAGTAACACCGCCGTTGAGATGAAATCTCCTCATCATCATCATCAGCCCTTTTACGTCCCTACTGCAGGGGCTCAGGCCTTCCTTATGGATGGTTAAGGAGGATGGGCAATGACCCTCTACGCTGGCCCAATGCGGATTGGAGGGTATTAACGACTGCAAATGCAGCCGGGGCCAACGGCTTAACGTGCCTTCCGAAGCACGAAGTAGCTCGAAATAATAATTTTTTAGTCACTCATCCCGTGACCGACCCTTGCGAAAGTTACTTAACAACAACGATCGCGGGCCACGGCGCTTATCCTCTACGCCACCGAGCTACTTATTAAATATTCATAACTAGCTTTCCGCCACCGGCTTCGCCCGCGTGGTCCGCTGGTATCTGGTACTCATAGTCCACTTCGCAACTGGCCGTGCAGCAGAAATCGTAATATTTTAATTTCGCCATAACTTCACAACCAAACGTCTAATTTTAGACCAACTATTATCTACATAAACTGTACTTAATGATGAAATAATTTATTTTGATAAGGATTAATAGCATAAGTAAAATAAACGCGTTTAAGTATAGTCCAAAGAAAAATCAAGATTATTAAATAAAAAAATGGTTGTTGTGCCTCACTCGACATAGATAGGTATAGTGTGTCGCGGACTTTTTTGTAGATATTTATAAGATCTACAATTAATTAGAACATTTTATAGTTATATCTATTATAGTTAAGGCAGCGTACGCAAAATAAGTAACTTTTCTGGTTGATTTTTTACACCTTGTGTCCGAAAAACCCAAATATCTTACGGAACCCTTTTTTTTCCTAAATCAAATATAGCCCATGTTACTCGTGGATAATGTAGCTTTCGAATGGTGAAAGAATTTTTTAAAATCGGTCCATTAGTTTTTGAGCCTATTCACTACAATTAAACAAACAAAGTTTTCCTCTTTATAATATTAGTATAGATAGATAAACAGCCAGTTGCACAAACGTTCATTATGATTTTCATTAGTTTAAAGCGACATTACATTACCCATACAAATTTGACATTCGTTAGAGTTTAAAGGCATCATTAAACCTTAATGGACGTTTGTGCAACTGACCGAAGATCTACAATTTATTTAATATCATTATTTAGATGGCTGCAACGGCGACCCTAATGCAGTGGTGAAACGTTGTCCAGCTCTTACTCCGGCCACATGCAAGGATCCCAAAAGTATTAACCCTCAAGAAGAATGTTTATCTTTAGGCTGCGAATGTGCGCCTGGCTACATCAAATCTGAAACTAATGGGCAATGTATTTTGGCAGACGAATGCCCAGGTAAAAGTCTTTAATTCAAGAGAGTTAACTGATAGTTTTGTAACTATTATAGTTATTATAAAAAAGTTCAATGAATATCATGCTTGCATAATTCATTATTCTGCTTGCCTTGCATGTTTCGAAAAATTTAATTTTTCTACATAATGACAGTAACTGTAGCGAGATTTTCCCTGGTTTTATTTATTTTTCATTTTTTTCAAAGCCTTTATCCATTTAGATACGTTAATCCATTTCCTTAATTCATAAGCGAAGGGAATTATTGGTGTTGTATGACTCTATTATTTGTATCTATCATTTTCGATTTTTCCGCATCAAACAATTTACCAAGATTACTAGAAATGTAGAGGCAAACCCTTTTTGTTTTGTTTTTAGATCAATGCTTTTTTTATTTTCGTGCATCCTGGGACCTAAGTCACAATATAGGTTTTTTTTTCCAACAAGTGACCAATGTATGATAACGTATTGGACTTTATTTAAGGTGGTAATCCATGCGGCCCTAACGGTACCTTCGTGCAATGCGCATTCCGCTGTCCAGACCAGTATTGTCCACGAACTGACAGTCCATTCCAGGTTGCTTGTTTACCACCACTTAATTGCCCTGCCGGTTGCACATGCAAAAGCAATCACAAGCGATTGAGTTCAAGCGATGATAGATGTATTTTGGCTCCAGACTGTCGTATGTATAACTTATTATTTCTGTTCGTATAAATAAGTTGAAATCGTGAATTTACCACGTACCCGAAGAGCGGTTTTGATTATGATAGAGCATATGTTGAATTTTCACAATTTATACTCTACCATTAATGCGTTAAGGTTTAAAACCAAGTAAAGAAACTTAACAGATAATCTGACGTGCTTTTGACTGTACTTCGCTCTATTCATTTTACTGAAGCTAATCAGATTTACAAATTTATCATGTTAAATATATGTGTTTGATTTTACCAAAAATACATACACACACAGCAGCATACTAGATTACCATAATATGTCAAATTATCGTAATTGGTTTTCAACTCTTCCTTTCATACAGGCTTAAAGACAAGTGCAGAAATTTGTCAGATTTGTATAACTTGACGAGCCGTTGAATATACAATAAATCAGGTTATTTATGGAGTTTATGAAAGGCCTTAAAGTTTTAAAAAGGAAAGGAAAACCGAAATAATTTCTAGTACTAATCAATATAAGATTGCAAAGACTTGACACTTTAGCCTTGACCTTCATTGATCATTGTAAATTTTTTTTGGTAACACCTCCAGTAAACATATGGTACATATAGGTATTGGAAATCCCCTTAACACAGTAATTCTTTCATTCATTTGTATTGCAACATAATGCAATAAGCATGATACGTGTATTTGGAAAACCCAACGGGTGTCTGTCTGTGACTCATCATGTCTGTTATATTTTAGCACAAGTTAAATGTACCAGAAAGAATGAGGTATGGTCACCATGCCCGTCTAATTGTCGCTCAGAAGATTGTCGCAACGTAAATGATGAACCACGTTTTTGCATTGCACTTGCGGGGAACTGTCGACCGAGATGCATATGTATTGAAGGGTATTATAGAAATAGTATGGGTGTTTGTGTACCTGCAGACCAATGTGGTAAGTAATGTTATTTATAAAGTGATACATACGAAGTACATAGAGCGCATTATAGAGTCGTAGCGAAATAATAAAGAAACACAATAAAATATTTCTGATTAATCAACATTCTTTGATAAAAGTTGTTAGTAAATATCCTAATTTTTTTTGCTATTTGAAGCAAACGGTTTTTTTTATTGATTTTTGAACTCATCAAATTAAAATAACTTTTAATGAGATTAAGCCTTAAAAAGCTTTAATTTTCCACAAATACGAAAAATATATACAAAAACTATCTTTATCCGAAAAAATTGTGTTTCTTTAAACTTTTCTTTTATTTTTATTTGGGTTAAAAGTTTGTTCTGTTTAATAATATTTAAATAAATATAAAAAGGAATCTGTCATAATTTTGAAAGTGTATGCATTTTTTCTTTACATCTATTAAATTTTCAGAGGGGTATAATCCATGTTTGTCAGAATGTGCTCCTACTTGTGACAACCCTAATCCACTGAACTGTGACAGTTACGTCAAAAATTCGTGCTGTAGACAAGGCTATATTTTATCTGAACGAAGAGGCAAATGCATCAAAATTGAAGAGTGCCCTAGTAAGTTTTCCTCTAATAGTGACTACATGTTGTGTTTTAAACTTTCATGTCATTAACATTGGAATTATTGTTAATTACGTAATTGCCACCTTGTAATCTACAGTTTTAAGGTAGATGACAGCATTCCCGTTCTTCATTCTCAATAATTACTAAATTTCCATTATAGTTATGTAATCAGAAACAAGTTAACCTTTTAATGTTGACCTAATTTATTTAGGGTCGTTGCAGTGTGTTCTTTTTTCAAGCTACTGTTCTAGAAATGGTTAATGTTATGATAATGTTTTTTTTATTATTTTATGTCAAAGCTGTATTTATTTCGAACTGAAATTATAGTCGAAAGGTCTTAATAATGTCTTAATAGACATTATAATAATAGCTTCCAAATGTAATGAAAAATGATTCCAAAAAATAGACCATACTCATAGACCACCTTTCGACTATAATTTCAGTTCAAAATAAATACAGCTTTGACATAAAATAATAAAAAAATATTTAAAACAACCTTTTCCTTACAAATTACTGTTAATAATATACAGTATGCTATTTTGATGGTAACAATATTAAAGGTTTCATTTTATACAGGCATCAAAACTGCTTTAAAATAAATATCCCACTTTCTAGTAATTTAGGAAAAAAATATATTTTTTTAATACCATTGCTTTTTTAGCATGTATTCCAGTAACTTTATAAATACAGTTTTTGAATACATTTCTTATTGTTATAAACAGCAAACGTCGGTTGTAATGGTGATCCTAATGCAGTCGTGAGAACTTGTCCAACCCCTTGTCCATCTACGTGTGATCAGCCTAATGCTTTCCCGTGTAAGAAAATGTGTTTAGATGTAGGCTGCCAATGTGCTGATGGTTACTTACAACTAGAAGCAGGTGGAAAGTGTGTTCTACCAGACGAATGCCCAGGTGAGTTACTATGATCGACTGACTTTGGATCTTCTGCTCTAAAGAGTCATTTAAAGGATACTAATTAATAAAAGACAACAATAAATTTCACCCATATTAAACTATAATAAGTTTCTTAATAATAATAACTTTATGTCTCACTACAAAGACATTACAAAAAGATGTACACTTTATTTGTGGGAGTCTGGTGCCTATTTAGGTTCAACCCCGTATTACAGGTCACCAGTGAAAATGTTTATTTTCACAATCCATATGTTGAAAATGTATAATTAAGATAACATTACATTATGTAACTTTTAATAAGTTTCGACATTTGCAGAGAACTAATCCTTGACAATAAATGTTTCTGCTGTAGAGTTTTCTTCTTTCGGTCTTTATTTAATTTTGATTAAAAGCATAAATAAATGTGTCATAATTGTATTTAATGGTATATATTTTTCCTGTAGCTAATAGTTTTCGCGTATTTAATGATGGATTGAGTTAATGAAATAAGGTTATTTGACAAAATAAAAAAAAAGTTTTAACAATATTAGGTTTAAATGTAATAATCGTGTTCATGTATCTACACATTCGCCTTAAATTTTATTTTAGTTGGGAATCCGTGTGGAAAGAATGCAACCTTCATGCCTTGTAGAAGTGACTGCCCTTCAACTTACTGTCCAGTAGATGATAGTAGAGCAGTGGAAGATTGTAATGTCCCTAATCCTTGTCTCTCTGGTTGCGTATGTCGAGTGAATCATAGAAGATTGCGTCGTGGTGATGATCAGTGCATAGTGTCTTCGGATTGTCGTAAGTATAATATCGTTTTTCGGGTTTCATATCACATAATTAAAGAACGGAATCCTCGTAAATGTGAAATCTGTCTGTCTGTCACAGTTTATTTGCTAAGAAAGTAATAGGAAGTTTCAATTAAAATTATGCTCAAATAATATTATATGGGTCGGATTTGTATTGGAATGCTACCATTAAGGAGATGGTTACAAAGCGAATCTATATAAATAAAAAATAATTACAAATAATATTACTTTGCGTAAAATTCTAGAACAGTTGGACTAAATTGTAATTTATATATTTATTGAACTCTTATTTTCTTAAGGAGAAAAGAGAAAATAGTAAAACAACTCTCTTTTTCTCATACAAATTGAACAGACGGATAAATTCGATCCGCTTACGATAACTTTTGACAAGCAGTCCTTTCGAAAACTTTATTTTGGAGATGGTATTAATAAATTTGCGCCATTAAACTAGAGCCAAATGTGGGCGCCATAATTTTATATAAATAATTACGTTTCTTTTAATAAAAACTATTTATCGAATTGAAAATTAATTCTGTTTACAGCTCCTGTAAAGTGTACCAGACAAAACGAAGAATGGTCTTCATGTCCAAGCGCCTGCTTACAAGAATCGTGTGAAGATGCCGGCAAAAAACCAATAACCTGCAATACCCTTTTGTTGAATTGTCAACCTAGATGCGTTTGTTGTAAGGGTTATTATAGAAATGATACAGATATATGCGTTTCAGAAAAAGAATGTGCATGTCAATAAAAATTGACGGCAAAAAAAATCTATATGTATTAAAATTTTAATAAACGTGCATTTATTTCTTATGTTTATATTATTGTTGGCTCGATCTTATGTTTGATATAATCTGCTGTTAGATTAAAATTACAAAAAGTAAAATAATATTGTTTTGATAGCAGAATGAAGTTTCTATAAAAAAAATCTTCCAAAAAGAATAATTAAAATTAAATTGTTTATTTCCTTTTTGAATGTTGAATTTAGCCGCCTTTAATAGTGAGCAATATTGGAAAAAATCCAACTTCATTTATGTTGTTTATATTCAAAGTATTCAAAAAATAACACCATAAAGAGATGGGAAATACTATTCCGAATTAATATTAATACTAAATAAATATGCACCTAACTACTGAGTATGTACACAGCCGCACAACAGGTTACCCCAAAAAATACGAGTACTTTTGCAATTAATTTTGAATTTAACAACAAACAGAATGAGAATCAAAATTGATTGGAGGATATTTTGTTGTTACCTAACGTGCTCAAGGGAATCAAAATTATCGTTAATAGGGTACTTCTCATTGGCATTACTATAAAATTTTGCAAGTTACATCATTTTGTAGTATAAGTTCAAGGAAAATTTTCGGTTGAAATGTATCATTGATGCTATTAGAGGCCATTAATTTTTAGTCAACAATACATGGTAGATATTGAAAGTCTTTAGGGTATCACCACAATATTTATTGTTTCTTAATAGTATTCATGTTTAATTAAAATTAACATGGAATGTTATTCTTTTCATATTGAAAATTACCTTAGCAAACACATATTTTGTTTAAACCACTTAATTTGTTACCTAGGCCTTGTCATTTTAAGAAAAGCTGCTTTATTTGGCGTCAGTAGAGGTCGAGGGAATGATAGCATCGCGATCATTACATGGATTAAAAGTAATAAGTCTGTATCTGCTTCATTATGATAGCGTTTGAATTGATATCATTATTGCTATCATATAGTAGGCGTACTGTCTAATAATCTTACTAGAAAATTATTTAACTTCAGTTTGCTATCTGTTAAAAATACAGAATAACAGCTTTGAGATCAACATCGAGCTTACAGCATAGAGCTTCAATTTCATAAGTAAGTATAATTTGAATGAATATAATACTATTACAAAACTATTTTATAAACAGAATAAAACTACTGCGATGGTTTTGAACCTACATTGTATTAACAGAAACCTATAGGACTATCACTAACTTCAAATCAATGTTGACTATAAAAGCCCTTTTGTTAATTGGTCACACTACGTAGGAAAGAAAAAAGATACTAAGGCTTGATGTGGAGCAGTTTCTGCTGAATCCCAGGTCCAACCCTCGAAAGTGAGGGTGTATAGTAAGGGGTTAAGTGGGTATGCCACGCACGATTTGACTAATCGTTGGGCGTGTCTGTACAGATGGGGAGTCCCCCTGCCGCCAGTCAAGCGGTAGGAACGGTTCATAATGCATCCTCATTCGAACACAAAAATGCGTAGCTAGCCAAAGTTAAAATGTCTATAATTATATGTTTAAAAAATTCGTCTTGGTTTAAACGATTATAGAAAATAAATTCAAGTCGGTAAATTATTTTGTCTCATAAAATTTATTTATAACATAGCCTGTTTATATCTAAAAATAATATTAAACACAGTGACTCCAAGTTTAAAGTTATCAAACTTTAATAGACGTTTCTAAACTTCTAATGTTGAATCATAACATTGATATTTTAATATTCAATTGACAATTTGAATCGACTTAAATATTGTTATTATAAAACTTCGCCTCGTACCATAAATTTGATACTTACGTGTTTGCTATCGCATGTTATCCGAAATATTTGGCAAATGTAGCTTGATGTGTACGTACCATTGTGTTTATGTCAAGTTCCGCAATAAAGGTTATAAAGTGTATAACAATACGTATCTATTAAATAAATGTAAGACAACATCTTGAGCAGTTTGTTGGCGTAGTGGATAGTGGTCGGTCGGATGGGCGAATAAAAAATGATTATCTCGAGCTACTCTGTGCTTCGGAAGGCACGTTAAGCTGATAGTCGCGGCTGCATATGCAGTCCATTAATACCTTCCAATCCACATTGAGCTAGCGTGGATAGACATAGCCCGTCTTTCTTAACCATCAAGGTAAAGGGCTGATGATAATGATGAAAACAACCACTTCAGAGCCCTAATTAGGTACTTTTTTGTATTATGGAAATACGAAACAACGAAGGTATTATTACATATCCAGGCCCATGACAATTGAAATGTTCGTTTTCTATATTAACTCAATTGAGAATCGAACTTGGGAACTAATTGATGGCAACACCTTGAAACCGTGTGCGAGCCTCTCAACACAGAGTTTGCCACAATATTAGTCTATCTCTAAGAGATAAATTAAATATTGCCGTAATACAATTGGGTATTGTTTTAGTACAATTAACAATATTAATAGAATAAGGTCTCAAGGGATAAGGTCTATAAAACTAAATACATGAAACCCCAAATTACCTAATCCAAACTCATTTAGGTCCAGTATGAGCAATAGTTACGCAAGAAAAAATAAATAACTACCAACGTTTTCAATTACGCCAAACTTCCAACGCCAATGTTGATTGGTCCTATTAGTTTTCGGGCGATTGACTCGCCATAAGAACATTTTCCAAACTACATAATTGGTTAGAAAAAATGTTATTTTGCCAACTGTAATTGATTTTGTTCTATCGTGTTTGTGTTCGTGTTTATCTTGTATTTCCTGTTGGATTCTCCTTTTTTGTTCCACGGCGCGTCTTGTTTGAACAGTCTTGCATTTCTCAGAATTATTTGTGTTCTCGTGATCGACGAAGAAAGTTCCCGGATTGACTTTTTACGAGATTCTTCGAGTGTTTGTTTGGGGTAATCGGGAAAATGAAAGATGGCAGACGAGAGGAAAGATATATATATATATTTTGTAAAACCTTTGAGTTAATTTCTTGAGTTTAATAGCCATTTGCAGCAATGAATGCAATGTGTTTTGTATGCAGTGCATTTTGATATAGGTGCATTGTGTTCATAGATAAAATATCAGTTCATATTAAAATCAATTACAAAGGTAAAGATGAAAATATTTCTGATATTATTCATGATCGTTTGAATTAGCACAATTATTTTATTACAAAAAGTTAAGTACATTAAGCGGTATGGTATAGAATACAACTCTCGTCTTATTTATAACAATAATAATTAATTTTCAATCGTGTTTTGAAAATAAGCAAATAGACTTGTAAATAAAAATGAGTAAATTACAACATATTTCTTGTTCCACGCAATTTTAAAAAATAATAAAATTTTTCTTTTAAAATTAATTTTTAGATGCTTATATTTTTCCCGTAAAGAAATATTTTAGCTGTAGGAAAATATATAAATAGATTATAATATATAAAGTGATAACAAATGGTCACAGATATATTACACCTGATGCCTAGTACTCGGCTTTCGGAGTAAAATTTCATAGGCATTATGATGTTTTTTGGGAGAAAACTAGAAACAAATGGTACGTAAAACATTCTGTGTGATATGACATCTTTTGACCACGTTCATAAATTGTCAAGTTATATAGAAATACATTATATAATACAATCTGCATTGAAGAAACTTTTTATATTAGAAAAAGTGGCAAGAATATTTTCTTTTTTGATTAGTATTATGTATAATCTTATAAAAAGAAAAGTGAAGTTAATTTCCAATAGAACATCGGAAAATAATTGGAAGAGTACAAAATTAGTTTTTTTTACAATATAGTCTTACTCTAGATTCTCTATATAATTTGAATAGTAAATAAAATATATTTCTTAATCTAAAACTTACATATTTAAATTAGCTATCTTACAGAGACTCGCGTGATGTCATTTCACGTAGGCGAATGAATTTTTAAATTACGAAGATTATATTCACAGATAACACAATATTGTGTTTGGGGTACCTGTGTTCTTTTTTAATTCTATTTAGAACTAGCCTAAGACTAGGAAACAAAATTTACAACCGTGTTATTAATTTCTTGTCAAGTATTCGAGTTTCTTATTCGTGTTCTGTTATACAGGAACTCTCCACTTACACAAAAGGTAATCCATAGAATTCCCTTTGCCTTTTCCTGCGAAAAATGAAACGGTTATTTTTAATCTCGTAATTGATTGGATATTGTTTTTGAAATCAAATTGTTCCGTCGTCAATAGGACTAACAAAACAGCCAGCGAAAGATAAAAGAGGACTAAAACATCATCATTTGAAGTCAATTAACTGATTCTCCGATATTTTGGTGAGATACACAATTTCAATACAATTTGTTCTCTTTGTTAGCTGTATTGATTTTTAAAATTACGCAGGTGACGTCATGGCCTAATTATCTCAGCTTAGTTCAATTTTATAGGAATTCTAGTAAGAGTAAAATTTCATTCTCAATATTTACTACCACTTAATTAGTGTTAAAGTGGTTATAAGTGTTAGGTTTTTTGGGTATTTGGGTTCTTGCTGTTGATGGTGTGGAACTGACGTAAAATACAATGTTCTGATCATTTGGTAATCAAAATCATAATAATGCTATCTAAGGGAAACAGTAAGAAATCACGAACCGCAGTGTAGACATTTGTGGTCTTAACAAAGTAACGGATATAGAAGTAAAATGTAGGGAAGCTGGGCTTTTGCTTGGCAAGTGTGGTCCAACAGATATAGATTTGAAAGAAACTTTGAAAGCGCGATGCACGCTCTATAGGTAGACATCTCAGCGCCATCCAGGAACTTGTTATCGTTTTGCCGTTAATTAGATAAGCATGGTGAGATAGATGTCGCTTAATGAAAGTCACCACGATTGTATTATACATTTACTGAATCAACCAACTAAACCTAAATATTTGCTATGTGTTATATTAATATAATTTGTAAGGTGAAGCTTATCTCTCTTTTTGGTGTGATTATTAATGTATATCTTTGTTTGTAGACTAAGAATATTTATAAGGATTTACATCAATTGTTTTTTTTTATTTGCCTTAGAAAAAAATGTCGGCATTGCTATCTAATAAAGATCGCTTGGTTGTCACACTGTCAGGACCCTTCTTCCCAGAACCAGATGGAGGCATCGATTTGTAACTCACTAAAGTTGTGAAACGTCGGGACAATAGGTCTGATAAGGGTTTTATTCGAAAAATTTTGAGGTCATTTCATGTAAATCCCCATAGCATTTCTGTAAAGGTCCATGAAGAAGCCATGTTTTTGGTATAAAAACTCGTTTTGATACGGTGATTCCCTGGGAGCTACATGCTCAACTTGCAGAATAATTAACTTGTTTTTTTTGTGAACAACTAGTTTTATGAATACAAAATTTTGAGACAAACTTTACGAGATAATACCATGAAGCTGTTTGGCGAGTTTGTTGATGTTAATTACAACGTTTAATATTTATATAAACCAACTTTTTAGACTCATCTAATATTTTAAAAGCTAAATTTAGTATTTTATGTCCTCAAGTCGCTTTTGTAGAAAGTTTCGCATGAATAAACATTGTCTGAAGAATAATTTGTGTTACGCACAAAAGCCATTATGAATTGGAATTTCTGAGATGGAATTAACCAAAAAAGTGGAAATAGAAATTTTAGGAACAGACGTTCATGCGTTAATTATTGTTTTTTTTAATTTCGAAGAAAGTATGTATATTTATAATTATTTCGTAACGCCTCATCCTTTATGGGATAGATCGAGAAATATGCGCGTAATTTTAACACACGTTCTTCTTGAAATTTATAGGTCTTTTCATACATCGTGGTTCTTATTTATTTATTATTTATGCACAATACCGTACGTACGGTACAATACGGTACGTAATACCGTACATGACTTATGACTTCCGATACCATGTGATAAATTTCATTGTTAAAGGTGTAATTTGGCCGAAAGTAGTTTTCACATTCATACAATTTTAAGTTGTATATCAAATTAAGTTTCTTCAAAATAAAAAAAAAATATTACACCCATCTTCAGGATAATTTAAAGCTGTGAAGAGAAACGGACAAAGCAAACACAAAGTTTTAATGAGTTTGACTAAAATTCTGTGAGTTAATATTAGCTTTCTTTGAAACTTACAGCAATCTGTTGGTAGAACACAGATCAACAGAGTGTCATGATACACGTATCCAGGTTTACAGTCGCAGCTGTTGCCTCTACAACCAGTCAAACAGGTCTTGTTGACTTCTTTGTAGTCGGAACAGTAGTTGCCGCAGTGATTGCCACAACCAGAAGTAGCGTTTCTGTCGCCATCGCAGCTTGCTGAAAGAAGATAATATTGTCAAACTTTTTTTTTTTCATAAGAGAGAGTATTGGATTTGAAGCAAAGTAGTAGAATTATATATCAGGAGTAAGAAAACTACATAATCGTTATGGCATTTCTGATTAGATGCAGTGTAAAATGACGCAATACCATGTTTGTTACGGCATTTTGCACTCGATGATGTAAGTGTAAAATGCCGTAGCGAAAATATTTTCTTCTTCGTCATTCAACGGAAATAATCTTGATAACCATGCCATCTGTTTAAAGCCATGATATAAGCAAAGCAGGCTCGGAAAATATATTTGTCAAGTATCGGTTCAAATGATGAAAGGTGGATTGTCACAGATCTAAAAACCAAGTAAAGATACTACTCATAAACAACTCTCGTTATAATAATGTCTAGATTAAAAGGGACAGATATGTTCTTTTTATTGTAATTCACATAAAAATCAATAGTAAAACTTCTTCATATCAAGTTAGGTTTAAAAAAGTTCTTATATCTTGTTCCACGCAGAATTTTGTTCCGGAACAATTCAGTTATTTTGGACATCATTGATCATTTTATATCAAACTCAATAGCCAATCCTTCATTCAATTCAATTGTGGTTGATATAAAGTACGCCACTAAAATTAATTGTTAGTGAACCAAATATAATAAGGATTGATACACGGTCAAAATTTTAATAAAAACCAGAGCCATAAAATTTTAATCAACTTGAATCGATGTTTATACTCATACTCAAAGGATCGTAGTCATAAAAGATAATTTAGTGTAGTATAAACTAGGATCATATTTTTATTGCACCTAAGTTAATCTTGTAAACGTGCAGATAAATAAGGTGTCCAATCTAGTGAAGCGGTACTATTCGAAATCAAAGATATTTAATATAAAAACAGACCGGAAAGAAGAGAAAAACAAAACGTCAATCTTATATAGCCCACGTCGCGTGACACGGGGACGAGGCTAATATAATCACTTCAATACTAAATAAATGGTTCCCCTGATTAAATAATAGTTATCGTAATTCTTCATCAGCTTAATTAATTACAATAATTTCTATTAATGTCCCCATTGCTGCAGCACAGGCTTTCTAAAGAAGGGTGTTCAAAATTAATAATTACTTTTTTGTCTACTAGATAGCGTTGTATTATTTATACATCGCGGTAATGTTTCGTTTATCTTTGTAAATATAGATTCTAGACAGTTTTACATAATTATAAATCTTTATCTGACAGTATTCACATGGAGGCTGATAGGGTGAATTGACCATAATTTACTACGTCAGTGGAGTAGTGGATAACCACCGCGGCGATTGTTTTTGCTAAGCAACTTTCGCAAGGGTCACTCACGGGATCAGTGAACAAAAAAATATTATCTCGAGCTACTCCATGTTTCAGAAGGCACGTTAAGCCTTTGGTCTCGGCTGCATTTGCAGTCGTTAATACCTTTCAATCCGCATTGGGCCAGCGTGGAGGGTCATGGCTCATTCTCCTTAACCATCTATAAGTCACTAAAAACTTACCTAGATCCGTCGAAAGATTTCAGATAGCATTTCGTTTGACGCTTCTCAAGAGCTTTCAAAAATATTTGTGTCAAACGCTTGCTTTAGATAATTCCAATTAACTTAAGTAAAATAAACGATAACGTTCATTTACTATCTATCAATCTCATTTCAAATAATATCTTTCAAGTGTCAAATTGAAAGGGAATACGATAGAATTTAAAATTAGACAACGACGAAGTATTTGAGAAAACATTAGTTCCCGAAATCAAACTAGATGTCGCTTCGGTACGTTCGTGATTTCTCCATGACAACCTTTCCGATTTTCTTTCGAGTTTAAAAGTAAATTAGTTTTCAAAATTCAATAAACAAGTCGTATTTGTATTGATATCTAAGTTTCGCACTTTGCAAATTTCAGTTTTTTAATATGTTAGTTAAACGGAACGGAAATGAATGCCTTTGGTCCATTCGTTTCCTGCAAAAATCAACTTTAGCTAGAGTCGCCATCTAGTGGAGGTGCATTTTTAGTGCTTTCGTTTTTTTTACTTCCTCATTAGTCCTCTAGTAGTACTTACGACAATCCGTTTTAGGTATGCACGTGTCGTTAGCATTCCGCACATATCCATCTATGCATACACACTCAGGGTTGCATCGCGCGGTAATGCCGGCGCACGGCACTGGTTTACCAAGGTCGTCGCAGTGTTTCGGTCCACAGTGCGAGCATTCCACTTGCATTTCATTATGGCCACACGCCTGTCTCTTCACCACTTTAAAATAAGAAAAGTAGAACAATTATCTAAAAAAACAGTCTCAGGTACCAGGAGTGAGATCGCCTATAAATCTAGCTATAATTCTAGATCCCATTTTACTAACCTAAAAAACTAGAAAACGTCTAAACTTACAAATCACCCAATCAATTAGTTTAATTCCGAATAAATGTTTTTTTCTGTTATCTCTTATATACACATATGTGACTTGTCATATTACATTAATGAACAAAGCAAATGCCTAGCGCAAGACGTCGTATAACGCATGTCATAACTTTAGACATTGCTTAATGTCATTAGGTGGTCCATAGTTATCGACACAGTTGGGAGGCTCCTAAGTTTTGTGAAAACGGGCATTATTACGAGTAATTTATCCCAAAGGGTTTAGCCGGATACGTATGACGAGTCGGCCCCCAAATGGGAATCGATATTGAAACTTATGTTTTAATATAGACTTGATGTTCAAACACGATTTATGTACTTTTCGCGACCGACTTCCGCTTTGACCTTGAGATAGAGAGCAAAATATCCGTATGCTTGACTATTACTGAATGTGATATATCTCTGAAGCTAATTAAGATAAAGAAGTGAAACTAACGCGAGGTGTTAGGTTACATTACAGAGTATATCACATATATTTTTTTATAATTTTTAAAATAAAAAATTACATTAAAAAAATAAAAATGAAAAATATCATGTTTTTTTTTCTGACTTCTCTGTGACTTACAATCACGAAATTAATATATGTTATGCTCCTTTGTATGCTCTATCACCCATAAAAATTGCGTGAAAAAAAAGTTGGTGCAACACAACGGAAAAAAATTATATGTGATTCGCGCCTTATAGTGTGAGTGTATAAACAAACAAGTTCGAACTTGTTATCGAGCTGTTTACTGCATCGTTTGTTTAGCTAAAGTAGCAGTCATTTGTATTACACAAGAAAGCAGTTTGGGACTCAAATTCTGTCATAGGTATTTTGTATCAGCATTTTGAAATTATTAACTATCGAACCAAATCATTATTAAGTAATAATGTCGAGAAAGTGTAAAAATTGTAACAAGTACCTGTGTAAGATTCCAGGAGACCAGGATAACCAAGATAACCAGGAGGTTATAAAAAAATTATAAAGAATGAAGAAGAAGCTAAAGTGTTTAGTGACTGTTTGAATAAAATCGTAATAGTTAATGATATTTTTTGTAAGAAGTGTCGACTTATCCCATATATTAACAAAAAAGCTTCTACTTCTAAATGTGCAGCATTTAACTTGGCCGAAATAATGGACGATCAAAATAATCTCTCAGTACAATATGTGAAATCAGCACCTAATATCATCAAAGCAGAAGTAAAATCAAGACATATAAATAGAAAAGTCTATCGAATTTACATTCACTATATTTCCGAAGGTAATGACTACAATAGTATTCTTCGTTATTGCTGTGATTGCCCCAATGGCAAACGTACAGTGGGATGCTGTTCTCATGTAGCAGCTATTATTTATTATCTATCATATCGATGATATTTGTCCAAAATCGTACGTCCTGCTGAGGTCCTAACTAAGTTATTTGCGACTCAAAGTGTTCCGATTGTAATTAATTACAACAGTGACGATGATTAATATTTTGTTTCTTGTATTTTGATAGACACGAAAAAGTAATAATAATGAGTATTGAACACTGGCTGTTTTTTTTTTCATTTCTTTTTTAACTATTATCCCATCTCTTAAGACTAGTTACTTATGTTTTAAAACAAGCTGATGTGAAATTTCGAAAAAAAAAACAATGATGTAATGTGAAAACCTTATAATACAGGGGTATACCATAAGACAGAAATCACATATAATTTTTTTTCGTTGTGTTGCACCAACTTTTTTTTCACGCAATTTTTATGGGTAATAGAGCACACAAAGGAGCATAACATATATTAATTTCGTGATTGTAAGTCACAGAGAACTCAGAAAAAAAAACATGATTTTTTTATTTTTTATTTTTTTAATGTATTTTTTTATTCTAAAAATTATAAAAAAATATATGTGATATACTCTGTAATATAACCTAACACCTCGCGTTAGTTTCACTTCTTTATCTTAATTAGCTTTAGAGATATATCACATTCAGTAATAGTCAAGCATACGGATATTTTGCTCTCTATCTCAAGGTCAAAGCGGAAGTCGGTCGCGAAAAGTACATAAATCGTGTTTGAACATCAAGTCGATATTAAAACATAAGTTTCAATATCGATTCCCATTTGGGGGCCGACTCGTCATACGTATCCGGCTAAACCCTTTATCCATCAAAAGATAAGTCCAAGTAGTAACATGAAATATCGTTATACCTACGATCGCTAAGATGTCATATCCTATGAATAAAATCGACCCTAGAGAGTTAGGCGTTGACTCCTCGCAGTCCGGGCAAGTGATCTCGCTAAGATGCGAGAGCACTGCCAGAATTCTAACGAGATTAGCGAATTTTCCAAATACTTGTTATCCATAGCTACAAGTAAGAAAAATTACTTAGAGTAATCCTAGTTTGAGTTCAATTTTAATAAACCTAATAAATATTTCTGGGTACCCACTAACCTCCTTTTTAAATATTCTATTATTATATGTCCTTAATTGTATCTAGTGTTGATACCAAAATAAAGAGAATAAAAAGAAGTTATTTGTATCGGTTAGTAATGCTGATTTCTAAATAAATCGAACACTGGTAAAATTGAAAACAATTTTATGATAACAATGGCAAATGGAATACAAATTACTTCACTTATAAATATTCAATAAATCAAGCAACAAGAAATTAAACTCGGATATCGAATCTAAACTTTGACGGCGACGCAAATAACATTTAGGATATTCGGACGTTTTATTACTTTCATTTCCTTGAGAGAATAAGATGCTTTCATATAATTAATTATTTGAACGTTGCTGTTTTAAATACAGATCAAAGTCTTATATTGTTTGTTTGTTAATGAAAATAATATTAAATTTTAGAAATAAATCTGTAAAAAAAATTCTTGCTTATATACATTACATGGATACAGTTTCAAAGCAACTCAAAATGATCTGAAGCGTGTAAATTTATTGTTAGCTCTATATTTTTCTTGTATCTAGCTGGAGTTCTTAAATTATTACTTTATATTTTCACACTTATCGCGTATATGGGCTGTTAATTGAGTTTAATCTACAACCCGTTACGACACAGTTTTTGTTACAAAATAACATATATACCTGTCACCATTGATCTTACACCTTATATTATCACCGTTATATTTTGGTTCAGAATTTTTTTTTCAAGTTTCAGTTTCGGTTAAAAGTTTACTAAAATTGTTTAGTTCATTAATAACATGAAAATGGAGGTCGATTTGAAAAAAATATTGATGTTACTTTATTGGTTTAAAATCACAGCTCTAATTTGCAGAGTCACTTTTTGTATTACAATTGGGCTTACACTTGATCAAGGGAGAGAGGATGATGATGAGATGGACAGTGGTACAAACTTGCCCAAAACGAAACTTATGACTCTTTTTAAAGAAGGAGTTTTTAGAATGAAGTATTTATTTCAAAGAAAAAGTCACAATGCCTCATGGCTTACAAACACTGATTATGATTAGAGAACCAAAAAAAAATACCTTCAGAGTAATCTATAAATAGCGGAAATGTTCCAAATTTAAACTCATGTCTCACCTTCACTACTTATGACATATAACCAAAAAGAAGCAACAATTATCACAATAACTTTTTCCATTTTGTTAACAATGGACACACACTTCCTGCGTTGGCGGTAAAAAGTATACTACAACATTTTGCCGCACTTTTTGCTGACTATCCACTGGGTACTTTTTAATTTTCCTGTTTCCTTTTGGAATGGCCAATTCATTGATTCATCAAAGACATAATTGTTGAAGATAACCAACACATCCTTAGCACTATAAAAATAAAGGTCAAAATAAAACAAACAGCAGTGTGCAAAAACGATGAAGTTTTCTTTTCCTCATTCTCGAACAAAATTTCCAAGTAAATTACATCATGACGTTGTCGTTTCCAAGTTCAACCAATGACTTAATTATTAGGAATTGTAATTTATTAGAAAAAAACCGTAGTTCTAGTTTGAAATTTAATTCGTTAACAATAGTACAGACTACAATATTAAAACAAAATCAAATATACATCAACAATAAATATATTAAAAAAACTATAAAACATAGAGATATATAAAAAGAAGTCAGTTCAGCTGGCACTATATTTTAAAAGTAATGAATGAGTTTTGTAGTAACTCTATATACATTACATGTTGTTTTTAATGATGTTAGCTATTTTCCATTGTTTGGGCACAGACATTCGCCATGGATGGATGGAGGCACTCGAGCCATTTCACTACCTCACTTGAGTCATACTGTCAATTCAAGATTGAGCTGATGCCGCTTTTTGAAGTGAATTCAGATACCTGAGTTAATTCGAATTTGGGTTTAGCGCAGTGGTTGGTGCGCTCGGTTTGCGATACGGTTGTTAAGCAACTTTCGCAATGGCCGGTGATAGGATGGGTGACCAAATTTTTTTAAATTCCTCCGTGCTTATGATGGCACGTTGAGCCGTTGGTCCTGGCTGTATCTGGAGTTGTTAATACCCACAAATCTGCAATGGGCCTGCGTGTTGGGTCATGGCCCATTCTTCCTACTCGATTAAAGGGAAGGCCTGAGCCCCAGCAGTGGGGACTTCTAACTTTATAAAAATTACGTTCTGATTAGATGCTTTATTTGTTAGACTACTCTGGGCATAGATAAAATATCAGAATATTGGTCCTTTTTCTTTATTATATCAGTTTAGATAAATTATGTAGCTTCATTTTTAATATCGGCAGATACTTTTCTTCAAAGCATTCTCAACAATATCCAATAAAATCCATTAGACTTTCCATTCAAAAGTAAATCCACGAGAATCAAATCCCTTTACAAAGCTGTCCATTGGACGATAAA